TTCCAGGTCACCCACCTGAGAGTCCAGTCTGTTCCCAGTTCCTTTGCCCTTGTTCCAGGGCCCCACTCGCCAGGCCATCAGGTCATTCTGTCCCATGACTCTGCTATCACAGCCAAGTCTATTCTCCCACAAGAGAGCTCCCTCCAGGGCGCCACTCAGATCTCTCTACTTCTCTCCCCTTCTCCTGGGATCTGCCCTCCAGCATCAAACCTCTCAATTTGGGATCAGCTTGCCCTGACCAAGCTCTGCCCAGGGGCCTCTGCAGGAAGAATCTGGGCCAGTCCTCCTCCACAGCTCCCTGGGCCGGCTCGCCTCACCTGTCGCTCTGTCTCCCAGGTCTCCTGTAGCTCTCTCCCAGTAACACTTGCCACTGCTCCTCTCTGTGTCTGGCAGTTCTCCCCTACTACTTCCTGCCTCCTTCACAGGCCGCTCACTCCAGCTCTTCCTGTCTCCTTCCCTAGGGCCCGGCTGCCCTCTTTTAAGCTCAGTTGGGAGGCATTTGACCAACGAGTCACACAGATGCACTAACCTCTTCCCTCATAAGGGGGCAGGGCCAACGGACAATCACTTCTGCATTCCTCCAGGCCCCAGGGCTGTCAGGAACCAGGTCTGTTGTAAATTACAGCAGCCTCGGGGCTGTTCTAACTCCCAGCTGGTAACAGATCCCAAGTTAGGTCAACTGGAAGCAGCAGAGTGCTCCAGCCTTGCCCACTTCCCCAGGCACATGCCTACGGCATCCCCTATACTGAGGATAGTGGGGGAGGATGGGATTAAGCTACTCAGTTAGGGTAGCTTTATGGCCTCTGTTCAGGAGCCAGATGCTAGCTGCAAACCTCTAAGATATCATCCCATGGCAATCAGCCATGTAACTCTCCAGAAATATCACCCACATTTGAATCATGAAGAAACAGTACAAATGAATCCCCCCCGCCAACATTCACTCACGCACATACACACACACTTTTTGAGGTTTCTTGTATGTCACTGATAAGAGTCAGCTATGTCTCCATTGGCTGATTTCAGATGGGAGATGTTCCCAGCATCAGCATTAGGGATCTGACCGTAGCTGAAACCTGCTTAGATACTATCATATCTTTCTTGGTCATTCTTGGGACTCAGCAATAAAAAAAATAATAATTCAGCAGTAAAACAGGGAACTGAAAGATAAAGATCAAGTATGTAAATTACTCCCCCTTCCCTTTGCGTCTTTGTGACCATGTATCCAGCTATTAACATCTTCAGCTCGCTTAGATCCCAGTCCAAGTTGGTGCAAGATGTCAGTCTGGGATCTCGCTCTGCCTTCCCCAGGTGACCGTGTGAGCTGACAGAGCACCAGCATCCACAATGTCCCATTGACTTCAATGTCAATTGTGGGACTGGACTGTGGGCAAAAGTCTAGAACTCTGCATGATGATCTGGCAGTATCTGGCGGGATGCTCACTGACTGGCCGGTCTTTGCTTTGCTTTGGCAGCATCAGCCCAGCGAGCGTGGTGCGGAGGAAGAAGAGGAGGAGGAGAAAGACATGGCCTCCACTATCCTGGAAAGCATCTTCCTGAAGCGCTCACAGCAGAAGAAGAAAACTTCTCCTCTCAACTTCAAGAAGCGTCTCTTCCTCCTGACGGAAAGCAAGCTCTCCTACTACGAGTATGACTTTGAGCGTGGGGTGAGTCCAAGGGCCTAGAGCAAAGCAGGGGACATTGCTAATGGGGCAAGGGAGGCTCTGCAGAAGAGTTAGCCCCACCAGGGTCTGATCCCCTGCTGGAAGACACAGAAACACTCTTTCCCTGGGTCAAGCAAGGCAGCAGGCCAGGAGTGTGGAGGGTGCTCGGAGGGATGGAGTGAGGGGAAAGGGAAATGTATGGGTCTGAGGTTTGACCTAGTCACTGTGCACTGTGTGTCAGTACATCCTGTTCACGCAGAGACGGAGACTGGGGTAACAGTCCAGGCTGGTGCCTAGAGATTAACCCTGCAGCCAGCTTGGGTGCAGATCAGACTCCAAGCTTAGCGGCTGGCCCCTTTCTCTCTGTATAATGGGAACCCCCCTCCCCTCTCCTCCTCCTCCCCCTCCTCCTCATCCTCCTAAACTCTGGGAAAGCTTGGATCCCAGATGCTGATCCACACCCAAACTTTGCAGCTCACATCCCCCTGTAGTGCCATGGGGCTGCAACAGAGTCTAGGAGCTGACAGCTGCCTTCCCTGCTCACCAGGGTAAAAGAGCATGTGCCCTGCCAGGCATTTATTCCTAGAGCAGTTTCTCAGGAGACTGCCAATACAGCTCAGAGCCCAACATCCCAGGATCTCCAGGGGAACCTGCTGGTACCTTGTGATGGCTCCAGGAACCGCTGGAGAGGAGTATCAAGCTCTGGGCTAAATCCTGCCCTCGGATGCTGAAGTCAGTGGGAGTTACGTGTAGGTGTCTGGGGGCAGTGTCTGTGCTGAATTCTGGGGGTCTGAATCGTGGGGGTCTCATCTCCCTCCCCTCCCCCCCAATTCCTCTCCCTTGTTCTCTCTTGCAGCGACGAGGCAGTAAGAAGGGGTCCGTGGACATTGAGAAAATCACCTGTGTGGAGACGGTGGTTCCAGAGAATAATCCTCCCCTGGAGCGGCAGGTGCCGGTAAGAAAAGAACATGTCCCCATTGCTGACATTGCCCCCCTCCTCCCATCCCCAGCGCTTCCTCCCAGCCCAGCTGTCCCTAACAGGAACACAGGCCAACAGCAGCCCTTCTCCCCACCATACCTGCAGGGTGTGCCCAGCCCCTGTGGGGAGATTCCTGCCCCAGTTCTTCCTGGAAAGGGAGTCGAGTCCTATGCCAGCCTCCCAGGAACTGGCTGCAGTTCCTCTGGGGAATTAAGGTGGGGGCTTCTGGCTGCAGGCTCCTAAGGAAATAGGAGGACTTTTCCAGTCCCCTTGGGGCATCGGTGAGGGGTTCCCTGATTCAATCCTCTGGGAATGGGAGAGCTTCCCACTCCATTTCCAGATGGGCATTTGGAAGTTGCACTCTAGTCATCTGGGCACACTGGCCCGCACTGCATGGCTGTTAGCCCTGTTGCTCTGTCATGCCAGATGGCATGTTAGGTACAGCATACGCCAGAAGCAAGTACTGGTGTAGGGGGTAACTGCTGGCTGCTTTCCCAATCTCATGGGCCTCTCCCAGCCCCGATGCCTGGAGTAGCAGAGGCAGGGGAGCAGGCTTTGGGTTTGTCTGTCTACTGTTAGCTCCCATACTGGCCCAAAGGCCTCGTTCTGAGATCCCTTGGTGCCCGGGCGATGGGCAGGCTGCAGAATGGATGCGGCTCTGTGTGCTCTGACATGCCAGAGGGTGGCGAAAGGCTGTAGCAGATTAAGATCCCAAATCCCCAAAGACCGGGGAGCTGCCCGTATTACAAAGCCCTGATATCCAGAGCCATAGAGCACACAGCAAATTCATTGTACAGCACTGATCTGTGGAGCCAACAGGACACTGTGCACATCCAAGCTAAGGGGCTGGTACTTGGGTACTGCAGGCACTGGTAGCGATGCTCCAGACTATAAATCCACCTTCTCTGTCTGTCTCTTGCAGAGAAAGGGGGAGGATTACAATGAGATGGAGCAGATCTCGATCATAGAGCGGTTCCCATACCCTTTCCAGGTGAGTCATTCTTCCCCTCAGTTCCCACTGGGGCTGTCTGCAATGCGCTCAGGCTTGCTTTGCATGAGGAGAAGGCAGCAGGGATGGGGGGAGGGTAGGGCTGGTGTTCCTATGCTTTGCTGTACTGGGATCACATGCAGGGTGCTGTGCTTAATCCACTTTGAAAGTGGGGTAAGCTAACCAGGAACACTGCACTCTTACTCCAGAATCAGAGTGCCCACACAGGGTGCTAATCTGGGATAGCTATTGTGCTTTGCATTCGCACCCAACCTTAATCTGAATTAACTGTCAAGTGTAGACAAGCCCTTAGTCCCTCAGCTTCACATCTATACAATGGGGATAATGGGACCGCCCTACCTCACAGGGGTGTTGTGAGGGTAAATACAGTAAGGGACTGGGAGGTGCTCAGACACTGCAGGGACCAAATGAAAACTAGATGTTGATGTGAAACCGGTGGGTATGTACTTGGCACAGCTCAGCCTGCTGCCACCTGTGCTACTGCAGCAACGCTATTTATACTCACTCTAGCTCAATGAGCTCGTACACCCCAGCTCATAGTGTGGACATAGCCTTTGTTTCTATTATATAGTGTTGCTTATACAGTAACTTTCTCACCGCTTTACTGTGCTGGCTGTAATGTGGTAGGTACATTGGTGTCTGAGCCAGGGTGAATATCTGGGCCTAAGGTGCACCATTTGAATCCAGATCCAAACTTCCCCCAAATTTCAGATCCAGGGTTTTGGTTCTACCCACAGGAAAACCTGGGGTCTGCTGCAGAGTTTGGATCTGGGGGTGTTGAGATCTGCGGATTTGGTTCAGGCCCATCTCCAATATCTTGGTTAGCTGGTTAGCTACAAACAGACACAGTTTTCTGGATTCTAGTTCTGGAGACTTAAAGACATTTTGCTGTTTGTGGACTGAATTCCGTATGAATCTCCCCTCCTTAGCCCATCTCTGATCCAGTCATAATCTGCAACTGGGCCCCATAAACTCCCTGCCCATTCTCTGCTTGTCAGAATCCCGTTTGGTGAACAAAGCAGCCCCTGACATATTGAAAGTCAAAGGAGGAAGTGGAAAGTCTTGGGGGAGGGGGCTTATTTATAACCTCCTGGTCACAGTCTCATAAGCACAGCAAAGGGGCCAGAACAAAATTAAAGGGGTTATGCTCTGCAGCAAAAGGTTAAAGGCCTCAGTCCCCACCTTCTCCCCTGGCTGCTCTGGAGAGCATAAGCCTGTTTGTCCCACAGGTGGTGTATGATGAAGGACCCCTCTACGTCTTCTCCCCGACAGAGGAGTTACGCAAACGCTGGATTCACCAGCTGAAGAACGGTGAGTCTCTGGCTTTTACAATGAAACCTTTTTAAAAATCTTGCACGGGGCAAGGCAGGTGTCTGTATTCCGCACGGGGCAATGACATCAGCTTTGGGCTAGAATCATCATAATTTCATTTGAGCCGGGACCATATTGCAATGATGCAGTGTACCGGGGCTGTAACACTTGTGGGCAGCTGAAATCTGATGGAGCTGTGTGTGTGGGTGGGCTTGTGTGTGAGTGGGGAGATTAGCTGTCTGAAATGACACAGGGAAGTTCACAGATGCAAGCCGGAAGGATGTCAGTCTGATAACGGGGAAGTCAGTTATTGCATGACAAACCCCATCTTCTTAAACAGCAGGCATTTAGCAAAGCCTGTAGCTCAGATCAGCTCTTCAGCTGGGTGACAGTGCTGTGTTCACATTATTCTGCCTGGATCCTGCCACTTGCTTCCACTCTGTCTGGCAGTATGCCCTGGTCTCCCCATTAACCATACCCCTGCATCGGCTGTGCCTTCAGCTCTCCACCCTGCAGCCCTTAATGTCACTCCTCATCAGCCGCTGCCTTCCCAGGCCAAACTCAGCCCAGAATAACAGAGCTCTGGTTGCCCATCAAGTGCCACACACTGACATGAACCCAGGGCTGCTGCTAGAGAACATGTGGACTAGCCGGTCCTGGCTCCTGGGAGAGGAGGGAGTGTCTCTCCAGTGAGGGATGGTGCTGTGCCACAGTGTAGTGCTGGAGAACCACCTGTGACAGTTTGCCATGTCAGTCATGGAACATTGCATGCGGGGACATCAGTGCATCTGATGCCTAGTAACAAGGACAGAACAGCTGCTTTAGTACCTGGTCCTGGGGGGTTTCTGAATCAGGAGAGGCTCCCGAACAGGCAGGCAAAGTGAGACCCGCACAAGGAGGGAGTACAATTAGCATTTCCAGTGCCACCACACAGAGTGTAGCAGCCTCCTTTGCCGTGGGTGTGTCTCCAGATCCAGAGCTGACCTTCCTCAGCACACGGGAGTTTCCAGCTGCAGGGCTGGAGTGGGCCCATTTGGGAGAAAAGAGGCAGCTTTCAGAATTAACCACCCACCTCGCTTTCCCCACAGCAGTTCTTTGGAAAGGCAACAGGCCAGTACAGTTGCAAGGAGCTGTGCACGGAGAGTGACGGCTTTACAAAGTTTGAGTTAGGGGCCCCCTTCTCTTCCTTGCTCTGGGCTAAAGGAGGAAGGGGTTTGCCAGAGGCAGGATGTAATTACACAGAGTCAGGCCCACAGTGCGATTGTGCAGCAGCTGGCTATGAGCTGCTCTCATTGACTCCAGGGGGAGTTGCTCACAGGCTGTGCTGCATAATCATGTCCTTGGGGTGTTTGGCTCATCAGAGCAAAACGCTGAAACTTCCCAGCCTGTTTGTGCATTTCTATTTTAATGCATGGGCATCACACCAGCCCAGCCTCTTGCTGCTTGGATGCCTGGGGCCAGAACCTCAGGCCTGGCCATTTGGCATCTGGAACCATTCAGGGAAGGGGAACCACAAACATGGATGTAAGTATGTCAGCACTGCAGTTAAATACCCGTGGCAGCTAGGGGGATGTTTAATGCACTGTAGACATTTGGGCTGGAGCCTGCACTCTGGGACCCTTTTCCATCCCGAGACAAAACATCTACTCCACAGTTAAACAGCCCCGTAGCCTGAGCCCCATAAGCCCATCTCAGCTGACATGGGCCAACAGCAGGTGTTTAATTGCAGCATGGGCATGCCTTTTATGGTTCCCTGACCCTCCGGTCACTGGACACAGGCCTGGTACTGAGGAACATCATAGAGCAGCCTCAGGGCTGCCCCGAACTGTGCTGACTGTGACAGCCCCAAAGGAGTTGTCCTAGCAGCCTGGGATTGCAGGAGTGCAAGGGCGTTCCAGCCACACTCATTTCTCTCAGGCATCCCCCCAAGCTAGGGGCCTTGAGGACAGCGCTGTGCTGGCTTCACTCCCCTGCAGGATTCTTCTGCACAAGGAGAGTCCACAGCTGGACAATGAAGCCAGCTGTCTGGTTTCTATTCCTGGGGCAATGCAAAGTAGTCTTACTGGGGCTGAGCACATGGTTTTTAATGTCTTCCCCTCTCTTGTCTTTCCAGCACAGCTACTGAAGTATCACTAGCGTTGCCAGTAACTCAACTTACTCAGATCCACCACCAACTCCCCAAGCACACTGGGGGGTACAAGGTGCTATGGTCTCAGAGCTGTCCTAAAACCTTCTCACACTCCGCTTTGTCTGGTCCTGGCTTGTCCACTGGAATCTCTGATTTCAGGACCATTGGAAAGCCAGAACTTGCCAAACCTCAGCAGGCCAAGGTACATCCTGCTGGAGAACAGGCCTGTCTCACCCCTCTCTAAGCCAGTCAGAGGGAAAAGGCACCCAAAGGAGAAGAAGAATGACTGAACACTAGCCAGGCCAATCCCCATTGCCTGAAGTCCTGGGGGAGAGCTGAAGGTTTGGGTTATAGGGCCAGCAGGCTTTGATGGCTGTGTTCGGGGTCCCCTGGTGATAAAAAACCAACTGATTTCTCAGAGGCTCTGCAGCTTTGTGTAGGAGCTCTGCAGCTTCGGTCAAACCCCAAGGGACAGATCCAGCCTTTGGATAACTGAGCGTTTGGGGGAACTGGGATTTGGCTCGCCAGGACACTCAGATGTCCCAGTACTGAGTGTGAGAGTAAGGCCTAGATAGAAAAAAAATAGGTAGGTGCGACTGTGATTCAAAAGGGGGCCATTGAGTGAAGAGCTGACATGAGTTACTAAGGAGCCTCCCATCCTTTTCGTCTGATTGTTTATTAATTTGTATTCTGGGAACACCTGGTAGGTGAAGCTCTTATCCCTGGCGGAGGAGGCAATGCCCATTGTACAAACAGGCTTTCTCTCCTGCTGCAGTGATCCGTTACAACAACGACCTGGTGCAGAAATACCACCCCTGCTTCTGGATTGACGGCCAGTACCTATGCTGCTCTCAGACAGCCAAAAATGCAATGGGTTGCCAGGTCCTGGAGAGCAGGAATGGAAGTAAGACACCACCTTGCACCCCCAGCCCATCCTCCATTCCCCTTCTCTGTGCTTCGGTTCCTTGCCCCATCTCTGGAAGGCAGGTCCGGGTCACCTTCCGAGCGTCTCACCAGTCACTGACCCTGATGAGTTTTTCAGCTTCTTTTGCTTCATTTCTTATCTTAAAGGTTTAAAGACTGGGTCTCATCGCAAGACAAAGAAGCCTCTTCCCCCGACCCCTGAGGAGGATCAGGTAGGAGAGGAGTGGCTGGGATCAGTACTTGTCACAGGGTGGTCTGTCCCCTTGGAGAGCAGTGGGGGACTGGGGCCAGCCACGCCTTTTCTAAGGCATTTCAGAACAGGTGGTTCCAGGATCACTAGGTGTGCCAGCCTGCTGAGCATTAGGAAGAGAGAGAGAGAGAGGCCAGCAGGAAGGCTCTCCTGTTCCAGGCTCCTGATGCTGGCAGGCTAGGGAAAACTGAGAGTGCTCAAGCAGAACCCCAAGGAGGAGGGCTGTGGAGCCCCTGTGGCAAGGGGAGGAGTTTGAGCCTAGGGGGGCAAGGAAAAGCCTGAGGGAAGGTTGCACCTGGGGCCAGAGTGGGATTGGCAAGACCCCCCTGCTGAGAGGGAATTGGGACCCTGGGGAGAGCTGAAGTCCTGAGCGAAGGAAGGCTTAGAGCTTGGACAGGCCAGAGGAACTGTACATATTTTGTAAGGACTTGATGAACAAGACCCCAAGAGGGGACATGCTGGTTTAACCCGTTCCTGGGTGCAGATGAGTGCACTGGAGAAGCATGCAGGGGGAGCTGAGATGAGACAAAGGCAGTGCCAGGCCCAGGGTAGCACGCTCGGGGACCCAACCCTAAAACAGCGCTCTGTACTGCACGCGGTGAGGGGCGGGACACTGGGCCCTCACTGTGTTCTGTGCTTCCCCACACCCTGGAAAGATGATGATGAAGCCGTTGCCTCCCGAGCCATCTTCCAGCTCTGCGAGTGAGCTGAAGAGGGTGGTGGCACTGTACGACTACCAGCCGATGAACGCCCAGGACTTGCAGCTGCAGAAGGGAGAGGAGTACTTCGTCCTGGAGGAGAGCAACCTGCCCTGGTGGAGAGCCCGGGACAAGAACGGGTAAGAGCCCCAGCGTGGATAGTGTGGGGGAGGGACCTAGCTCAGCCACACGTCACCCTGTACACTCACGATCCTGCACACACTTAACCCCCTCCTGAGGGCACCTCCAGAGCACATGCACGCCCACGTACCTCTGCACACAACTACATCTCCCACACGTGATGGTGCCTCCCTCAGAATGGTGCAGGAACCAATGGGGATCTGTCCCCTCTCCCAGAATCCTGCTCAATGAAAATTAAATGTAGGCAACCTCTGTGCCCTGCAGACACATGCTGGCAGAGTCTGTGCTGGGGACAGCTCCCTCTGGGTGGGGTCACCCCAGGCCTGCTGCAACTCCATGGCGCAGGCTAACAGTCTGTGCCAGTGTCAGGGAGGGAGAGGCAGCTCATTCACTTGGTTCAGAGGAAGGAGGAGGACTGCAACGGACTGGCTGTGCATGCCCTTGGTACCGACCTGATCCAAAGCCCACTGGAGTCCATGGAAAGACACTCTTTGGCCCCAGTGGGCTTTAGTCTCTCTGTAGCCATATTCTACCAGGATTTCTGGCCAGGAATCCTGGGTCTCCCTACGCTCCCTAAGGAGAGGCTGATGGGTTCTCTCTTCTCCTGTAGGAGGCAAGGTTACATTCCCAATAACTACGTCACTGAAGCCAAGAATTCCCTGGAGATTTTTGAGTGAGTATGAGAAGCCGTGGGGCCAGCTGGGGATTTGGGCTTCATTGGACCTCTCTTTATTAAGTAATAGAGTTCAGCTTTTAACATCAGAGCCCTCTCTGCCCCAGAGAGGGGGCAGAGGGTGGGGGGGCTGGACTCTGCCGCTCCCATACCCTCTGCCCCACACAGAGCCCCAGAGCCTTTCATTCCTACTGTGCTTTTGTCACAGGACTGCTTGAGGATACAGCACTGGAACATGGGGCTGGAGAACGGTGACTGCCTCTCGCACAACCAGGCCCTCTGCATAGGGTGACCATATTTCTTAAAGTAAAAACAGGACAGCCTGGGGCTCACCTGAGCACCTCCCTCTCCACCCCCCCTCTCCCTCCCCCGGACAGGGCTCGCAAGACCCGCCCTCCTCACACCGCCCACGGCTGGGGCTGACCTCTTGAGCTCCACACCACGCGGGTGGTCAGCTCTGAAGGCAGCGCTGCCCGCCAGCAGCAAATTTCTCTGCTCTCCTGCTGGTGGGCACTGCTGCCTTCAGCTGACCCCACCCCCCACCCCAGACAACAGCTGCTGCTCTCCTGCTCTGCCTTGCAGCCAGGACAAATGTGCAGTTTTGGTGAAAAAGTAGGGACGGCCGAGACAGAGCTGAAAAAGGAGACTGTCCCGGCCAAAACAGGACGTATGGTCACCCTACCTCTGTGTCACCAGTAAGTTGTGTGTCCACCCCCACCGTGCTTCCTGTCCAGGGGCCTCTCCCTGATCACGGCCATGTTCTCTTGTTCCAGGTGGTATTCCAAAAACATAACCCGGAGCCAAGCCGAGCAACTGTTGAAGCAAGAGGTGACTGAGACATCAGTGAAAATAAACGACCTAGCTCTGCTGGGAGCCTTTCTCCACTGCAGTCCTTGCTGGGCTCTTCTCAGAGCCCAGACCCAATTCACTCCAGCAAGGAAAGCCATGCATCACCTCCACAGCATGTTCTCTCTGCTCTGGGTCTTGCCCTCTGAACCCCAGCAGGTCACAGCAAAGCTGTCATGTTCTGCTAGAAGCATTGGAGCCTCACTGTCATCCCAGCTGAAAGGATCAGAGAAGTGCTGGCACTGGCTTGGCTAGTGATGCCATTTCAATAGGAATTAACATTATCTTGAGGCTGGGCCAGATCCCCAGCTGGTGTTGATCACGGTAGCTCCATGGAAGTCTGTGGGGTTGTGTCATTTTACAGCAGCCGAGGATCTGGCACGTGCATAGACTATAAAGCTGCTGCCTCCTTTGAGCTAAGCAGGGGTATGTTCCTAACACTAGGAGGCAGAGTAGATCCTGCTGTGGAATAGCTTTGCCAATCAGGCAGAGATGGATGGTCCCAGAGGGCTGCACTGCAGAGTCCACTAGCCCCAGCCCAGCCCAGGGTGGGACAGCCCAGGCCAAGAATCCAGTCAGAAGACAAAGCAAAATGAACCCAAGGGATCTACTCCAGCCTGAGGGCGAGGGAGAGCCTGTGCTGGGCTCCCCATTTGATTGTGGAGACGCTGCCCTCTTTTCCAGGGCTGGCTCCAGCATTTCTGCTGCCCCAAGCAAAAAAAAGCCGCGATTGGCGGCGGCAATTGGGGGGGGGGAAAATAAAGCCGCGATCGGCGACGGCAGTTCAGCGGCAGGTCCTTCGTTCCTAGAGGGAGTGAGGGACCTGCCGCCCCGGAATTGCCGCAGGTGCTGCCCCTCTCCCTTGGCCGCCTCAAGCACCTGCTTGTTAAGCTGGTGCCTGGAGCCGGCCCTGCTCTTTTCACCCCCTTCCGGTGAGCCAGCCCCTCAGAACCCAGTTCACTTTAACCTTTGCCTGCCCATTCCCCCGTGGAATGAGTACGAGGGTGGGGGGGAGGGAAGTGGAGTCTCTGGTTCCATCCCTTGTCTCCTCACAAACATCCAGTCCTGTCCTCCATGCTGAATCCCCTCTCTCTGTGTTTCAGGGGAAAGAAGGAGGCTACATTGTCCGAGATTCCACCAGCAAGACAGGAAAATACACAGTCTCTGTGTTTGCCAAGTCCTCCGGGTAAGCGTCATCCAAGGCTGTTTTCCTTTCATTAGACACAGTACGGGCAGCTGGCTCGTTTCTGTCCCATTGCTGCCCCCGGCTCTGATGCCCACTTTCCAGGCCCACCTCCCTCGCTAGCTGGCACCCCCCCCTGCAGTCACTGACTCGGAATGTGATTGGCTCCTCAGGGACCTGCAAGGAGTCATCCGCCATTACGTGGTGTGCTCCACGCCTCAGAATCAGTATTACCTGGCAGAAAAGCACCTCTTCAACACCATCCCGGAGCTCATCATGTACCATCAGCACAACTCTGCCGGTGAGTATGCAAGAGGAAAGAGGACACGGGCAGAGTAGACTTCTGTCAGGGCCCCATACCCTACACAGGCTCTGCATCTCCCTCTCCAGCAATGGGACCAGAAGAGGCTGAAGGCTCCCCTATCCAGCTGACCTCTGGCAGCAGGAGCCAAGGGAGAAACAGTTCATGGCATGATTTCCCCCCTCCCTATCGCTGTGGTCCCTAGAAGAACAGAAGCCCACAGGCATGATAAGAAACCACCTCTCAAAGAGGTGGCAGCAATTCAGAGGAGGGTGAAACAGTCCAAGCAAAGGCAGGATGAAACTCCACTTTTGCATTCAGTGGCACTACTGTGCGTAGAACAAGCATGCAGGGGCTGGTCTACTAGAACGCTCCCAGTGGCAGGGTGCCATCCCAGAGCACCCCCTTGTGGCACACCAAGACCCTGCTGGCATTCTCCCCGGATTCAGAAATAAACCGCTCACATCCAGAGCTTGAAACAATATTCCCTTTCTCCTGGAGTCTGATTTATTTGGTGTAATGAGAATCCTGCAAAAGACCTCCTGCTTAGTCTCAGGGTCTTCCCAGCCCTCCTTAGAGCTCAGAGGAGTTCCTGTCAGGCTCCTCCCTCTTGGCCCAGGACACCCACTACCCTCTTTGTTGGGCAGTGCTCCTCAAGTCAGGCCAGTGGTAGCCAATGACATCCAACCAGCCCCCGGGTGGGGGGCCTCTTTTTACCTTAGTCCTTTTCCCTAGGGTGGGAGAACTCAGTAGGCAGCAACCTTCCCTTGCTAGCGTCTCTAGGCGTGCCTCTCCTTGGGAGCAGCCCTTCTCTGTAAGCCTGCAACCCTCCAACTGAACTCCTAGGGACTCGCTAGTCAATTGACTGCACAGGAGGTTGGTTGGCAGCTAATTGCTTACAGGTGGCCTGAGGTAGGCTCACTTGGCTTAAAGACAGTAAGATTGGTCTGACTGTCCTTAAAGGGGCCAGCCACCTGTGGCACCCCGTTTCTGAATGCTGTCACACTCTGGGCCCCAGGAAGCACAACAGGACAGGCAGCACTGGAATTCAAAGCAAGGACTATAGGTTTGTGCTGATGCAAGAATATCCTTGTCTTCTGGTGGATGCTGGAGTTGCATGTTCTTTTCTGGAACGTCAGGGGGTACATAGAGCAGGGATGTACCTCACTGTAACCTCTTTCCTGTGTTTCAGGGCTCATCTCCAGACTGAAATACCCTGTGTCTCAACAACGAAAGAATGCCCCCTCCACAGCAGGACTGGGCTATGGTAATGCCCACTGTTCTTCCATACGTGTGTGATGGTATTGCACGTTACCACTTGTGTCTGCCTTCAGTTCTACTGCACCATTCCCTGCAGTGACTTGCTGCTCCCCTGCCAGAGCTCTTAGAACATCCCCTACCAGGTTCCTTCCCTTCTAGGACAGGCAAGGGTTGGGGTGCCTGCGAGGGCTCCCTGCAATCAGTGCGCCTGCACCTTTCCCGACAGCATCCCTTCTTATGCATATGTTTGTCCAGGTGAGTTACTTCCACATCATTGCCCATGCTGCTGTTTGTTACAGGGTCGTGGGAGATTGACCCAAAAGACCTGACTTTCCTGAAGGAGCTGGGTACTGGGCAGTTTGGTGTGGTGAAGCATGGGAAATGGAGAGGCCAGTTTGATGTGGCCATCAAGATGATCAGAGAGGGCTCCATGTCAGAGGATGAGTTCATTGAGGAAGCCAAAGTCATGATGTAAGTGGCAACAAATCCTGTTCATCTCCTGTGGGGTCTTTACTACAGAGATGTCTCATTTGGCCTTGCTACATCCTCAGAATTCATCCTCCAGGTTCATTCACTCCTGTTCATTCCCTGCACTGCTCCACCTATGGACACCAACCCTGCCCTGGAGGAACCGCCCTGTTCTGCGATGAGAGGCCACTGCCATTCCCACCTCCATTTAGTACTGAGCTTCCCCCACACAATTTTGCCAGCAGATGCCAGTTTTGGAATGCTTGCCCTTGCCAGGATCTCGGTCTCCATGCTCCTAGCATCTCCCCAGCCGCTTTCTGAAGTTTAATTTCCTTTCTTGTCCTACAATGCAGGAACTTGTCACATGAGAAGCTGGTGCAACTGTATGGTGTCTGCACCAAGCAGCGCCCCATCTTTATTATCACTGAGTACATGGCCAAGGGCTGCCTCCTGAGCTACCTACGGGAAACCCGGGGGCGGTTCCAGCCTTCTGAGCTGCTGGAGATGTGCAAGGACGTCTGTGAGGCCATGGAGTACTTGGAATCCAAGCAGTTCCTGCACCGAGACCTGGTAGGGTCCGTAAGGAACACGATGAGTTACACATCTTGTGCTGAGAGAGTCACTGGGCGTCTTTAAAGAAGCCTTGGCTGAACTTGCAGACACAAACCAAAAAATCTAGTTCTCCTCAGTGAAACTAATGGGTGGTGAATTGAGAACAAATAACAGGAAATGATTCTTCACTTAGGGTGTAATGACCCTGTGAGAGTCACTGATGCGGGAGGTCACAGTCATATCCTGGGGCTGGACAACTCAATGCCTGATTGTAATTGTAGTTAGGTTGATTAAAGATGGGGAGGAAAATCAACTTCAAATCTCATGTTCTGGACAATCAGCAGATTGCTGCAGGGGTCAGCCAAGAATTTCCTCCCAGGAAGAGCCAAGGGGTTAGCATCCTTTGAAGGGTTCAGCTACTGCTGGAGAGGATCCTGGGTTGGAGGAACTATGGACTGAGTCAGTGAAGCAAGTTCTACATATTCCTTTACATTGATTTGACCAGTTTGATTTGAGTCCATCTTGTTCATGAGCATGTAGAGGCAGCCATGCAGCCTTCTCTCTGCAAAGCATCTCTCTCACCCTCCTTTCCCTCCCAGAGTATGAGTAGTGTGTACCATATGTACAGTCCAGCCCTCCTAAGCCTCTGCTCCGCTTGTGGTTTAGTAGAGAGACTGAAGAAAGCACAAGATTTTTCAACCACATTTTTGCCCACCTAGTGCTCTCAGCAAACAAGTAGGCTGGAGGATCTCTCTGGTCTCAGGCAGTGGTAGACATTGCTTTAGGCAACATAGGCAGGATTCTCTTTGAGTCAAATGTAGTAGAAAAAAGAACAGACTCAGGCTGTGTCTACGTAGCTATGCCAGCGTAACCCCCTAGTATAGATGCAACCTACCCAGACAGAAGGGGTTTTGATATCAGTGTAGGGACACCACTTCCCCAAAGTTAGCTACATCAACGGAAGCATTCTTCTTCCATCAACAGAGTTGTGCCTACACTGGGAGTTAGGTCAGGGTTGTTTATTTCACACCCCGGACCGATGTAACTATGTCTAGCTATGTCAGCCTAACTTTTAAGTGTAGGCCAAATCTCAGGACCCCATTTTTAAAAGCAGGACTCTCTTTTTATGTCTGAAATTTGCTGATGCAGTTAACATCACCTAGATGTCTGTCTGATTGGACCCTCGTATCAGGTAGTTAAAGCTCTATTGTAACAGACCTGCAAATAACTTTTGGTGTGAAAATGAGAAAAATTATTGGCATCCCATAAACTACCATTGCAAAACCGAAGACAGGGCCTCAGCACTTGAGAGATATTTGGGACAGAAGGCTGCAAATTTAATACAAGAGCTAAAATGAACCATTCAGCTGGGTAACATGTAAGCAGAATTTCCAGTTCTAATCCTGATGGTGGAGAGTTAGTTAAAGGACCTGGGAAGATGGTGAGTAGGGTTAATGCTGCTCATAAAATCTCCAACCTGGCCTGATCTACCTTGTAGCGATGCAGGAATGGTGTCAGCTGTGGTGCATCTGTATCTGCCAAGTCTTTCTGACATGTCTTGGGTGAAACACCAACTTCTGCTAAGCTCAGTCCTCTCCTCCCCATAGTTGGTGTGTCAGTAACATGACCTAGAGAAATCTTAGTTCATGTTCCTCCATGACATGAGCTGCCATGGTGCTGTGGTTTGGCAACCAGTGCCTTCCTCTGAGCCCCTGGAGACCAAGGCAAGCCATTCTGTGCCAGGCACATTGTTTGGTATGGGGGATGGTCACTGCTGCAGTGATTCCCCCTCGGGGAAGGGCTTTGTGTATTTCATATGCCATATTCAATGCTGATACTATGACTCTTCCCATCTCTCTGCCTACAGGCTGCTCGCAACTGTTTGGTGAATGACCAAGGAATTGTGAAAGTATCCGATTTTGGCCTTTCCAGGTCAGTTTGCATGCATGCACATGCATCTCTCTTCCTTTCTCTTTCACACTTTTTCTCTGCATCTCTTTTATCTTCTTCATCCCTTTCTCACTCTCCTCCTCCTCCTCACCCTTGTTTTTCTTTTCTCCCATTTCTGCTGTATTCACCTGTCTTCATCCAAATCTCTCACCAAGCTTTTTCTCCCTTCTTCCTGTCTCTTCCCCTCCATCACTCGCTCCTCCACCCCATTCATCTCATCCATGTGTATTTTCCTTCCTCTCTGTCTCTGTCTTGTCTCTCCATTTTCTTTCAGGCTTGACTGGGTGCAGGAGAGGTTCATTAGATGAAAGAATGAATGGGGAAAAAATGTGAAGCAACATCACATAAAATGTGTATCTACTGCAGGTATGTCCTAGATGATGAATATACAAGCTCCATGGGGTCCAAATTTCCAGTCCGGTGGTCTCCCCCAGAGGTCCTTCTGTACAGCAAGTTCAGCAGCAAGTCTGACGTCTGGGCTTTCGGTAAGTTGAGAGGACAAAATTTCAAGTTGCTGACAAGGAAAGAGTGGTTGAATGGAGTCAGAGAGAATCAGATCCTCTAGGAAACTGTTTCAGATATGATCCTGTATTCTTTCTGCCCCATGAACTGTCCATGTGCATTTCTGTTTGACAGGGGTTCTGATGTGGGAGGTTTACTCCCTGGGAAAGATGCCCTATGAGAGGTTTAACAACAGTGAGACAACAGAACACGTCACCCAAGGACTGCGTCTCTATCGGCCTCAGCTGGCCTCAGAGAGAATCTATGCCATCATGTACAGCTGCTGGCATGAGGTAGGTCCTATTCCCACCAGTACACATTCTTCGTGTCTACCACAACCGATCTGCAAGTCTCCATAGTCACTCCATCCATTGGACCCAACATTGCTCAGTAAATGCCATCTGGTCCTGGGGGGACGGAGGGGGAGAAGGAGAGGCTTTTTATCTCAGGCCTGCTTTACACTTATAATTTATACAGTATAGCTGACTTGGTTAGGGGTATGATTTTTTTTTTACCAGCATGGCTAAATCAGCAAAATCCTTCTGGTATAGATGCAGTTATTACTGGTATATTTACATCAGCAAAACTTTCCTAGCATAGACAAGGCTCCAGTATTTATTTAATCATGGGTTTCTACTTCACTGGTATTTTTCTCTATGCATTTTTTTGTTTGTTTCAGAAAGCAGATGAGCGACCGACCTTCAGAGTCCTTTTGGGAAATATCCTCGAGATAACAGATGATGAACCCTGAACTGCTACTTGAACCAAGCTGTCATTTATTAGTGTTTATTTTTGCCATTTAATCTTTTCTGTGACTAACAAACCTGCCCTAACAGGCACTGGAAGAGTCCTAAAAGAGCCTGCCATACCCAGAAAGGCAGAAGATATCTGGATTCACCAAACAGCATCGGACCCTAGCTTCTCCCACAATCCAACAACTCACTTGTGTTGGAGCCCTCCTGGTACTAAAGAGAATAGCAACCTACTTGCTATAGTTACAGATCAGGAACCTCCCTGGAGAAAGGATCCTTGAAAGCAGCACTTCACTGCTGCACTGGGCTCTTGCTACAGCCCAGAGACTGAAGGCATTATAAATGGCAATAGCCAGGTACTAATGGCCTGTGCAGGAACTACGAGCAGAGATTGATCAAAGAGACATAGAAACTAGGGATTTTTGTAAAATAAAACAGTACAAATTGAGAGGAATTGGGTCACTGAGATCCAATAGCTCCTGTCTACTCCAGGCAAGAGCCTGTCTAGTGTGCAGCTCTGGTATGGTTGGCTAGGCAGTGGCCCACAACAAGAGAGTGCTACTAGGTGTGCTTGCTACACTGGACAATCAAGAAAAAGCATTTCCAAAATACTGGGATGGCTTCCAATCTCCATGGTCCGTCAGTGGTGGTCACAATTGTGACCAAAGTGGTCCCTGTCGCAGGCAATAAGGCAGACAGCTGTTGGAGGACTGGTAGGATTGACAGAGGTTGCACAGTATCTGCACCTTCACAGCATCATCCCCAGTAGGACCACATGGCTCCCTGTCAGTCAGGGAGGTGGTTTTGCTGCATTGCCGTAAGGGGGTGTGTGTGTTGGCCAAAGACAAATCGGAGCATGGACACATGCACACGGAGGCTGAGACGAGGCGACTTATGCCAACCCGCTGTGCGGTGCAATTTGGTCTGAGTGACCTGCCTGGCAGGATGACACAGGTGTCTCCTTGCAGCCCAGCACCTGCCCAGCCAGCCCCCAACCCTGCAGATGTGAACTGGCTGGGACACATCTCCCCAGGAGCTGAGCCTAGCCCTCCTCATCCCCAGCCACACAGGCATGGGCTGGCTGAGGCATGTCTCCCTGGGGCCCACCACCCAGGCAGGGCGCCCAGAGGGGGGTGGCAAGTTGGGCAATTTGCCCCAGACCCTGGGCCCCATGAGCCCTGGCTAAGAATCCCTTTCCTCACCCTGCGGCGGTCCGGGTCTTCGGCAGCATTTCGGCGGCGGGTCCTTCAGTGCTGCTGAAGACACGGAGCGACTGAAGGGTCCCCGCCCCCCGCCGAAATGCCGCTGCCGCAGACTCGGAGCATGTACAAGCTTCGGTGAGTACAAACTCCCCCGCTTTGCCCCAGGCCCCCTGCATACTCTGGGTGGCCCTGCACCCAGGCCCCCAACCCCAGAGGCACAGGCTGGCTGGGGTGTTTCCCCCGGGTAGGGTGACCAGACAGCATGTGTGAAAAATCGGGAGGCAGGGGGTAATAGACCTCTATTAGGGTTGCCCACTCTGACTAAAACTATTCCAGGAGATTTTTCCCCCCAACCTGACATGATGTCATTTTCTTAAAATATCCTATTAAAATCTCCCGGATTGCTGTCAATAGTCCCTGGGAGATCGATGCCGATCCTGGGAAACTCCAGAACAATCCTGGAGGGTTGGCAACTATAACGCCACAAATATTGGGACATCAAGTCACTCTACCCCTGGGCCTGCCTGGCCAGAGCCCGGCCCCACGAGCTGGCTGGGGGGGAGCCCGCCCGCACCCGAGGCTGGGCCGATGCTGCTGCCCGCGGAGACCGGCCCTGTCCTGCCCCGCCCGGCCCGCAGAGGGCGCAGCATCCCCTGGCCCATCCGCCGCGCGGGGACTGATTCGTCACGAGAGCGAGGCCTGGAAGCCCAGGGGTAATGTTGAGGATGCGCATTGCCGAAGATTGCGGGACGCTCCGAGCATGCGCGGTGCGGACAATTTCCCTCTTGCGCATGCGTGGTGGGGCGATCATCCCCCTCCGAGCAAGCTGCAGGCAGACACGTGAAGGTCGCTCCCGGCGGCGAGCTGTGTGCCCGGAGCCCGGCATGGAGGCCTCGTCCCCTGCGGGCCTGGGCGCCACCGACCCGCAGCTGCAGCATTTCATCGAGGTGGAGACCCAGAAGCAGCGCTTCCAGCAGCTGGTGCATCAGATGACCGAGCTGTGCTGGGTAGGGGCCGGCTCCGGGCGGGCTGGGCAGGTCTCTCCGGCGGGGAGGGAGCGGGAGGCAGCCCCAGATGCTCCCCGCCGCCTCCGGGGAATGGGGGCACATCACTCCTCCCACTCGCTCGAGGGTGATCGGGGTCCCTGCCTCCCTTCCCCATCCGGAGCTAGCTGCGCGCACCTCGCAGGTGCGGCCCTTGCCGACATGCTCCCCATCCCCTTCTTCCATCTGGGGCTGTGCTGACAGAGCGTCCGGGAGAGCAGAGGGGTCTAGGCACCAACATGAGGCTCGCTGTGTGCGAGGGGTAGGAACCCCCCAGTACGTACGTACGTGTGTGTGTGAGGCGGGGAGAGGGGGTGTTGCTGGAGAACACGCAGGCACGTCCAGTCCCGGTAACCTGTCTCCCCAGCGCTGGTGGGTGGCGATGGAGAGGGAAACGCAAGACAGAATTTCAGTGTGTATCCAAATGTCCATCGCATCACCATGAGACTGCATGTGTGAACCAAGGGATGGGGGCCCATAACCCTGAGAGTTTTAGGGTAGTGTACCCAGAGAGTCATTGAGACCAGTGGCTAGGTGAGAACCCGGATATATAACTGTAATTATCCCCTGGGATAGAGCCAGGGAGACACCCTTAGACTCTAGCCCCAGAAACAACTTTCAGCTAGAGATTGCAGCATCTTTACTCCTGGTAATGAGACAGAGCAGCAGCATTGGGATCGGTATTCCCAGGCTGTTAGGGAAATCGTCCTGACTTGTAAATGGAACATATTTGTGCTGAACATGAGGATAAGAGGAAACTTGGTGTAACGTGTCAAACTAGTAGAGTCTGGGCTATTTGCCATGGGTAGGCAGAAATTCTGGACAAATTAGTACTGTTTCAGTAACTGCTGACCCTTGCCAAGGAGTGGGGGAAGCCAGGGACAAAATGGCTGGAGCTGCCACTCTTTGTAGAAAATGCAGGGAGAGCGGAGGTGCAGCTTTCTGTGAAGAGAGGTGTACAGGAGGAGCTGGAAACCTCGATGGACAAGGCAGCAGCAGGAGCAAGCTGAGAAGAGGGGGCAGGTGTGTCTGTGTACACTCAGGGCAAGTCTTGCCTACAGAATTAAGTCAACCTAAGTTATGTGGATGCACAATCACCTCAGTAATTGAATTTACACATCCACCCTATGCTGCTTGTCAGAGGTGCGTGTCCTCACCAGGAGCGCTTGCACCAATTTAACTGCCAGTGTGGGGAATTTCAGGGTTTTTGAATGGCATTAACAGTCCACATAAGCAACCCAGTGTCTGCACTGACACTACATTGACCTAACTACGTCGATTTAAGTGCCACGCCTCTTGCGGAGGTGAAGTTATTAAGTTGATGGAGTAAGCAAGGTACAGTGGTGGGAGCTACATTTTAGCATAGACTCTTACAGAGTTAGGTTGATGTAAGCTGCCTTACATTGACCTAACTCTATTGTGTAGACCAAGCCTAAGTGTTGAGTGTAGAGAAACTTAACACAAGTACTTTTCACCCACTTAGTTCTCAGGCTTGTAGTGTCAGCTTATTTAGGTTTGACTGTAAAGTGGGCCAATAAGCATTATGGCAAAACATGCTAGGTGTGCACTGGGTGGGAGAGCGCCAGGACCCTCCCCTTTGCCAAAGCTACTGCCTATGATGGATCTGCTGTTCCAAATAACAAACCTTTTGTTTGTGAAGTGTTAACTTAGTAGGTGGTGACCCTTTCTTGACTCCTCTTCTGACTGGTTCTTTTCATGTCTTGAGCAGGAGAAATGCATGGACAAGCCTGGGCCCAAGCTGGACAGTCGGGCAGAGACCTGTTTCGTGAACTGTGTTGAGCGCTTCATAGATACCAGTCAGTTTATTCTGAACCGGTTGGAGCAGACACAGAAATCCAAGTCAGCCTTCTCAGAGAGCCTGTCTGACTGAGCAGGGCATGGACTTCTTTGTTCCTTTAATAAAGAGAACTGCACATCAAATGGGAGAGAGAGAGGAAAAGGAGAGCGGCTGATGGGACAGCTATAGAAGACAAGCTGTGGGGAAGTTGGCTCCTTCCTCGGTCAGATTCTAGAGTGTCCTGTCATCTGAATGAGCTGAGATCAGCTTTTTGTTTTGTCCTTTAAAATGCCAATTTTGTGAAAATTACAGCTAGACAAGAGAGCCTGTAACAGATGCACATTTACTACTCTACTTGGCGGTGTACTGTTCTCATTCCCACTGACTACCTTTCATATACTGGCTTCACACTGGGATTGTGTGGACAGAATTTCTTATGTCAAGCGCACTAACTCCAAAATGTTTAACTGGGGGGAGCACACCAAGATATCTAGGATCTTATCTACTTCAAGTACTGGAGCCAGTAGGGAATGAAACACTCAGTGAAGCTTAGGAAGGGGACCACTACGTTAAACGGTCTTGTATTCAGAATCAGTTTTTATGATTAACCCTCCCCTAAGAGAAAGACTAGTGAATCTTGGTCTTAGAACCAGACTGCAGCTGAGTTGATCTGTGCCTTCCATGTGCCTAGGGGAGGACAACAGCTTGGGTTGCAGGACTGCACCAGTCTAGCTTACTGTCCTCGGAGAGAAGAACTTGCCCAAGGATGTAGCTACGGGAAGAGATTTTAAGCCTCACTTAAGATATAAAGTCAGTCATGTGGCCAAGTAACAGTTGTTTCAGTTAGAAGTGCAACATTGTTAAAAATTGATTTGTTCCATAAACTGCTTTCTCCTGATCATTGGAATAAATATTAATTGGATCAATTTTTTAAATTAGCTTGTGTTTAGGAAGGAGGGCTGGTGGGGATGTCAGACCTACCTTTCACCTCTGCCATGGGGTGCAGCCTCTCTGCACATTCCTTGTCACCTCCATTTTGTTCACCATAAAATAATTTTTGGGCAGGGAGAGAATATGCAGGCTAGTTCTTACAGTTAAACACAATGGATCTGTTCTGACTAGAAAGCCTGTATATCATATTGTGAACTCTGATTTCCTGTTCAGTGGTCTATTTCATGGCCTCCATGACTGGATCAGCCACTTAGTAAATCTACTGTTTGTGAAAAGGGATTAAGTCCACTTCATCCACAAAGCAGATAAAACGGTGCAGATTTCCTTAGGCAAAAACTTCTTATCTAACCAGACTACCTCTCATAAGAAGGTAATTTGTTCTCATGACCATTTGATCCTCTGTGCCTTTGTAGAGACTCACCCAATAAGAGGAGTGATTCTAGTTGGGTGAGGCTCTACAGGAAATAGACCTTCCATCTCCTCTTACACAAGTTGCTGAAAAGCTTAATTGTGCTATTACTCTTCCCTGGAAACCCCAAATAAATTATTGAAATCATGTTCCTGCCTGTTTCCTGAGCATGGTTGTGACTGCTACTTCTGAGTTCTACAGTGGAAGCTAATAAAGCACTACTTTTAATATGCCTCATCAGGTGACAGTGCTTACTGATGTAAGTTGTCTGTGTGTTACCTTCACAGGGGAGAAGTGCCATAGCTGGCCTTCACCTTTTGTAGCAGTTGTCTACAGTGATTATT